ATTAGAATAGTCAGTTATATAAACATAAGTACTGAAAATTAATTAAATTTAGAATAATTACAGTAAAATGAACATTAAATATAATGCAATCTTAAATAAATATAAATAAATAAAGAATCTTAATGCATAATTGTTATTAGAAATTGCAGAACTAAAAAAGAAAGACACATTATTTTTAGAAAGACCTTAATAGAAAGATAATAAAAAAATTGAAGAACAATTACAGTTGGGTTATGATTAAGCATTGGTTGATTTAAGAAATGAAAAATAAAAGAATAAATATTTGGAAAATTAAATGCAAAAACTTTAGGCAGATTATTAAGAATAAATAGATAATCTTGAAAAAAGAAATGCTGAATAAAAAAGACAATTTGAAACTTTATAAAGAGAATATGAATTAGAAAAACTATAAAAATATTAATCTAAAAGAACTATATTAATAAAAAATAATGGTCCTTAACCACCTGAAGAATAAGGATAATTATAAGAAGAAATTGAATTATAAAAAAAGAAATTTATAAATGTTGATAAAAATGATATTTTAGCTATTGCAAGATAAGTAAAATTGAATTTGATTGGATTAAAAATTTCATTATAATAAGTAGAAGAATACTTATTGACAGATGAAATACTAACTTAATAATAATTAAAATAAAATTTATCAAATAGAATCTTTGGTTTATAATCAAATGAATAAGTTGAAATGGCAGCTATTTATTTAGCTGATGTTGAAAATGAAACAGAAACAACTACTAGTGCTAGAGTAAGAAGTATCTTTAAAACTTTGATGGAAAACTATTAAATCTTAAATATAGAATAACTTAGTAATATAAATCAATAGATAATGAAAAAAAAGAATGAAATATCAGACATTTTAATTAAAAAATATCCAGATACTTATACTAGTGGATATATTACAATTGATGTAAATCTATTTAATAATAATTATAGTCTTATTTAGAAATACTTAATTAAGTTGAAATTTAATTAAGCAAAATAGAAATTGATCATTTTTATGCTTTAATTTAAAGATAAAATAGATCATCAAGAATATTTTTATAATAAATACATTCTCCTTTTGATGTAAGTTAAGAAGAAGAAGATATAGATGAATAATAATAGAATTTAAATATTGTAGATGTTTAACCATAAAGTGTAAAAATGTCAAATAGTGAAATGTTAATAATCAATAATCATAAAGATTCTGAATTAGTTAATTTGATTGAAGATGATGATGATAATATATAAAAATCTAATTAAAAGTAGGTTGAAGAACATATACAGAATGAAAATAAAAATAATGAAGAATAACTAAAGTAATCAAATAAATTGAATTTGGAATTGTCAATTGAAGAAAAGAATCCATTCCATGACGTGTAGCATGAAGAATCTGAGATGAAAATGATTAATTCGTAAGAATTAAGAAAATAAAGTTAACCTGAATTATAATAATTTTGAATTTAAATAATGGATAACCGATTAGAGAGAAATGTCAATAAACTCATGGATCGTTATAAGAAAACAAGTCAATAGATTGACTAGATCATGTAATATGAGCCCACTCCTCAATAACCTGTCACATATTTTATAGGTAGATCAAGACCTAGTAAAATCAATGATGATGAGTAATTCATATTTATCTATAATTTCAGTGATGATTCTTCAAGAGAAAGAAGGAGATAAAGTGGATCATTAGAGTAAATTAGTAGATTAAGAGAAACCTTAAATGCTAAGGATTTTTAGGAAAGAGAAAAATATGAAAGAATAAGAGTCTTAAATAAGGAGTTAAAAGTATATTTCTATATATACTATATTAGATTACACTTAAGGAATATATGACTGTTAATAAAGAATTAGAAGGTAAATTATCAGCTAAGGATAAATAAATAAGAGCATTAGAATAAGAAAATAGATAATTATTGGATTCTATTAATAAAGGTGATGCAAATACTAAAGAAGTTAAAATTAAAGCAGAGACTTCTGAAAAGTTAATTGAAGAATTACAATAGCAAAATCATATATTAAAATAAAAATTAGGAGATAAGAAATAAAAATTAACTGCTTTAAGAGATTAGTTAAAATAAGCAGAAACAGTTTATGAAGAATAAGGATAAAATTTTGGGAGAGAACTTGAAAGAGTATAAAAATTATGTGAAGATTTTTCAAATGAAATGTAATCATATTTATTATATATAGAAAAAACTAAGAAGAATAAAATAAAGAATTAGAAGGATAATTATTAAAATAAAGAGATGAATTAATTAATAGAGATGAATAAATTAGATATTTTGAATAAATGTATTAGGATATTAGATACAGAGATGCTGATTAATAATCTTAGATAGAATATTTAAATTAATAAGTCAATTACTTTAAGTAATAGTTAGATTAAGCTACATATAAATAAGATGAAGCATATGCTTAATTAGCTAAATTTGAAAAACAGTAGTAAGTATTTTTGTAGTCCTAAGAATCAGAAATTGAAAAGAGGGTTTCAAATTATAAAGATTAACTTGAAAAAAAAAAATAAAAAATTAATGAATAAAAATAATCAATTGATAATTTAAATTAAAAAATTACTGATTTTTAGAGATTACTTGATAATGAAGAGAAAAATAATTAAATTTAACTTTAAGATTATTAGAAATTATAATAAATTAATTCTGAACTTAAATCTGTTATTGATAATTAGTAAAACAAATTATTAACAGCTGAGAATAGAATTTAAAGTCTTGTTCTTGAAATTTAAGATTAAAAATCAATATTATAAACTAAAAAACAAAAAATTGAAGAATTTGAAATATAATCTCGATAAGATTTTCGTACAATTGAATAAGTAAATTAAAAATATTATATTTAAGCTAAAAAATTAAGTAATTCATTTATAGGAACAATTAACTAAAACTTAATAGTATAATAGAGATTTAGAAAATGATATTTAATTGACAAAACATGAAAATGATAAAACAATGGATGAAATTGAAATTAAAATTGATCATCTTGTTAAATAATTAGCTTAAAGTAAAGAAGAGATTAAGGAATATAAAAATAGAGAGAATGAATTTAAACAAAAAATAAAATCTCAAGAAGAGGAAATTCTAAAGCATGCTTAAAAATCAGCTAAATATAAATAATAGATTGAATAAAGTCAATATTCATTAAAATAAGTAAATAATTTAAAATAATTAATAGATTGAAGAGAAAGTTAGAATTTATGAAAGTGAAAGAGAAATTCAGTCAAGATAAGTATTGTAAGTGAAATAAGAATAAACTACAACATAAAATAAACTTAGAGTTTTGGAAGATATTCATTCCCTAATCAAAATGCATAAAAAAATTTGATTATGAAATTTATATATTAACAAACTAATTATACAATAAATATTTAAAGTATCATTTAATAATTAATAATAAATAAATTATCAAATGAGCAAGCTAAACTACTTTGAATTGCTTGCATAATTATATTTAAAAGGAGAATCTTGGGTATTTCCTTATATTTAAAGTTTTGCTTCTCATCAAAACATAGAGTTATCAAATAAATAGTTTATTGACTCTCAAAATTCGATAATAATTGAAAATGATAAATTAAATACTATAGGATTTAGCAACACTATTCAATTATAAAGTTCAAAACTTTTAGATTTGGATGATTTAGTTTAATCAGGTAAAGTATATGAAGATGATTCATGTTAATCAATAATTTAATAAATTTAAACAAGAAATCAAAAGAATAAAAGTAAAGTATCTAAATCTGAATTAAAATAAAATAAAATGAAGAATAAAGTTGAATAAGTGTAAAAGATAGAAAAAAATATTCATTTGGGTACACAATGTTAATAGTTACAGTTTCCAAGTTCAAGCCTTCGTCCTAGATGTGTTAGAATTTACTAAAGAAATGAAGAACTATGTATGAAAAGATTTTAGTTAGTTTAATTGTTATTTGAGGAAGTGTAATAAATATATCCTTAGTGTACAGATTGGGATGTAATTCTATTATTAGATTTGTCCAAAAGAAGTTTTGACACTGCTTTTAAATTATTAAAAGAAAGTAGTTATTTTGTATAATACTATCTATAAGGTAAATATAATATCTTTAATAAAAAAAAGTATAATCCTTAAGCAATATTGATAGAAATGGATTAGAAAATAGATGGAAAAAAAGATGATTAAAAAATGGAATTAAATAATATATATAAGTGTTTTAAATCATCTCATTCAAAAGCAGATACGTAGACATTGTTTCTATTAACAATTTTGTCATTTAGTTATTAATATTTCATCCTTAATATTTATAAATCTTATTATCTTTTAGTAATTTCCATTTCCAATTAATTTATATCAAATTTTTATGGTTAAAAGTATTTATTATTTTTACTATCTGATTAATAAGGCATTTTATCAATTACAGTATTTATAGTATTAAGAATTCTATGCTATTAAGAAGATGATCTATTTCTATTTTAGGTTTCATATTAAATCAGTTGTTTAATAAACCCTGAATTTGGTTTGACTTAAGGTCTCCTTGCAATAACTGAATTCAGAGTTCTTTGAAATCCCCAATTGAACTTTTGCATTATATATGCAATAACAACTGATGCACTTCTAGAGATCCCAGCAAAACAATGAACCATAACATTAGTATGTTATCTATGTCTTTCAATGAATTCATTAGTTTTGGGGAAAAATTCTTAAATGTTTTATTCAGTGCAATCTGGAATGTTAATGACTTGATGAATTATATTGGGAGAAGTAGTTACTTTAGGTTCATCAATAACACTAAGCAAGGCTCCAACTTATAAGGATTATAATAATTCTTAGCTTAATGCACAATCTATATCAGCCAGATATATACCTCCACTAAAATGAATAATTAGTTACTTACATTTATTGATTGTTTTTGATAATAGGGTCAATTATGCAATCCCACTTGTTTAATTTTTATATCATTTAACAGACAAATATTTAATAAATAAATAATATAATTAGTCAATTGGTATTCATATTTATTTTACATTAATTACTATATCTTCTTAATGTAATTCATTATTAGTTTAAAATGATTATTGATTATCTTTATCTTTTTCAACATTTGGTATAATTGTGGCTTATTCATTTTGATTTATTTTTGTTTAGACTACAATTTTATCAGGATGTTTATAACAAGTGAATCTAAATTTAGAAAATTGAAATTTACTATTTATTATAAGATTTGCCTTTATCCTTAAATTGAATGTATAGTAAGACTCTTCCAATTTAGTAAAGCACTTTTTGCAATGATGGTATATTATACTTGAGTAATTTATTAGACTAGGCATATAGAAGAGTTCCAAATTTAGAATTATTGTCTTATAAAATAAGTTTCAATTAATTATCTTCTTATTTAATAACTTTTATTAAAGCATGACTTCTTGATACTGATATATCTTTTAGTTTAATATCACAGTCAGGTATTCTCCCAATTTTAATTTCTGCTTTATCTTAAAGTTCCATAACCTAAATGATTCCTTCCTTAGATTTGTCATCCGAAGTAATTTTCCAAATCATATAAGGAACAACAGGCTTCTAAATTTACATAATACAAAAGATTTATGTTTGATATGTATAAGTGCTTTTTAATGGCATCTTACAAATTTCACATTCCATTTTCTTCCAAATGTATTAAGTAGAAGATTACTGATTTTTAACTTTAATTGATTATTATATCCAAACTTATAAACAATGTAGATGGACATATTTCATGGAACCAATACCTGAAATTTAAATTGAATTAATTTACATTTGCATGGACTAAATAGAGGATTTGATATTGTTGCACTTTTTTAAAAACAAATTCTACATTAACAACCATCTGGATCTAAATCTTAAGATTATATTTCTTCATCATTGATATCACTTTGGTCTCTTTATTATTATAATGCATCTAAATCATAATTAAAATCAAGTAATTGTAATTTCATTCTTCCTAATTTAATTATGTCTCCTCTTTATAGTTCCCATTCCTTTTGTTTACATTTATATTTATACATTCAATGACTCAAATTCTGGTCTTCTGCATAATATAGCCCATACTCTCTAATCTGATTTCTAGCTCATACCTGATAGAGTAACATAATCTTATTCACAATCAACTCTAAGCAGCTAAACCTGTTTTTTAACATATTCCTTTATAATAGTGATAATAAATTTACGTTTTCACTTAATGCTAGAATTTAATTATCAACCATTGAAAGTGTTGCTAATCAATATTGAATAAAGTTACCTGAAAAATCTAGTTCTAACTCTTTTCTACATGCTTGATTACTCTCAAAATCGAATAAGTTATGACTTTCTTTATTCCATATGAAAGCTGTTATACAAACTCTTAAATTATATTATATTTTTTACTTATAAGCTGCAATTTAAATATTTCCATCTATTTTTTTTAATTTCATTGATGCACATGATCCCATTTTTTATAAAAAATTATTAAATAAATAAATATGCTCTAATAATCTCAAAATATTGATTACTTGTATATACCTACTAGTAAGAATTTATAATCGCTCCTAAAAACATCAACATTCAAAATGAATGGCAATGTTCAATAAACTTATTTGATTAAGTCTTAATTGATAAATCTAACCAAAAGTCAAAAATATGAATATGCATTAACTAAAGATGGTTAATTTATCAAATTTGGACATTAAACAACTAAATGTTACAATCTCTTTAGCAGTCTATATATTCTATCTTTTAGTGATAAAAGTTTTATATTGACTTCATATGACAGAGTAAAAGAGTATCATTGCACTGAACAAAAATAATTAAAAAATTGGATTGAACATCTATTAAGATTTTGTATAACAAGGGGCCAGATATAAACTAGATTTAGATTCTTAAGTCAAATCAATAATGGAAATTATTCAAAAGTAATGTATGTTAAAAAAAGGGCTATCTCATAGAGGACAATAAGTAGAAGCAATTTGTATGTAAGACCTTCCAAAAGACTGATTTGATCAAAGTTACAAAACTTAGAGATTCTGTAATTGGAGAAATGTTGTTACTTAGACCTATTGATCATCCAAATGTGATTAAGTTATTGGAAATTCATGAAGACAATAAATAAATATATTTGATATATGAATATGCAAAGGGTGAATTATTTTAAGAATTCTAAAAGAAGAAAATAGAGAAATCCTAATTTAGTGAATAATAGATTAGCAATTTTATGAAACAAATTTTTGAAGGTCTTAAACATATACATTCCCTTAATATTATGCATAGAGATATTAAATTAGAAAATATTTTAGTAAAAGATTCTTAAACTATTGTAATTGCAGATTTTGGATTAGCAGCAAAGAAAATACCAAAATTTGAATATAAAAAATATGGAACTCCAGGTTATATTGCTCCTGAAGTATTAAATTTGAAAATTTATAATGAAAAAATTGATATATTTAGTGCTGGAGTAGTTGCTTATATTTTATTAACTTAACAACCTTTGTTTTCAGGAAATACTATAAGTGCTATTTTAAATTAAAATACTGCAGGAAGAATAGATTTTAATAATTCTAAATTTATTTGTTTAAGTCAAGATGCACAATAATTTCTAAAAAGAGTCTTATGTTTAGAAGAAAATCAAAGACCATCAGCAGCAGATTGTTTAGATTCTTCATTTCTATAATTATAAATACTTAATAATGAATTAGGAACACCTTTATAGTAAAAAAAAGAAGTAATTATTAAAATAAATTAATAGGTTAGATTAAGTTATTTGGGTTCCTCTGTTTTACCTGAATAGATTAATCTTTCAAAAGCAAAAAGAAGATCCATGAGATAATATATATTATTAAAATAAGCCATAATTACTGAAAAATAGAAAGCATAAATGATGTAACAAATAGCTGAATAATAATAAGGAGATGAAGAAGATTAAGAAAATCTAATTGTTTAAGAAACAGTAAAGAATGTAAAAATAATTAATTTAATTTAGATTGCAGGGTCTTTTTATACTGAAACAAAGAATGAATCAAATAATGAATAATTATCAGAAAGTGATTCAGGAGAGAGTATGAATGGAGAATCTTCTGACAGTGATGATGATGCTAATTTGTTTTTAGAAGATGATTCATGTCATAATCTATCTTCAAAGTTATCTCAATTAGGTGGATTCGAAATAAAAATGAAAAGATGAATTAAATTAAACATTATATATATATAATATATATATATAAGATCTATTATGATTCTAAATAATAAATTATTTTAAGTCATAATATATTAGTAAATTTTATAATTTATTATAATAATTGTAGAGAATTTCTAGATATTTATTTAACATATTAATGTTTATCATATCTTCTTCTTTTTCTTTTTCATTAAATTTACCATATTCTTTTCCCAATTAGGTGGTAATTTAGGTTATTGTTTTTCATTATCTGGTAAATTTGTCATGGCGCATTCTAGTCTTCTTTCAAAATCCTTAATTTCATCAATGCCTTATTCACATTAACTATATGTTAACCAATTAGTCATTAAGTCTTAATGTGTTGTAATTTTGGGTTTGAAATATTGAAATACAAGAGAACCAAAATAACATTCTATCAGCTAATTGAATTTGTAGATTCTGCAAATCTCTCTTAATGCAAAATTAATCTTGTTATCTTAAAATATCCTATCTTAAAACTTTATCCTATGATATTCTTAAATCTAAATTAATTTCAAATTTACTCTAAAGCCATTACTTAATTATTAGTATTTACTCAACTCTTATGCAATATTCTATATTCTAATCCAATGACTATTCAATTATTCAATGTAGAACTTTGCAGAATCTTAATCATTATAACTATACGAATGTAAATTGTTTTGTACTGTCTATTTGTTAATACAATATTACATCAAGATAATTTTTAACATAATTTTCCATAAGAGACGCAACTTCATCATAAGGACATTGATCTATTTTTTCTTTAACATTTTCATAGGGCTCTCCTTAAAAATACAATTCTTTAAATGCTTAATTTACTTAATCCATTTTTTATTATATTAAAGTAACAATGAAATCATAAGCAAATTAATTATTAGAAAAGATGAATAATTGTCATATACACATTAAATAAAAATCTAAACCATCAATTCATTTTAAAAAAATGGTTCTAACTTATCATTGGAGTTTAGCAATTAATAAACTATAAAAAATTTTCACTTTAAGATGTAAATTGCCATTAGAAAAAATAAAAAATGAAGAACTAATAATTAAATAATCAAGATCGATGTAAAATAGTTAAATATTTAATAAACAAAAATCAAATAAGCATATTCGATATTTATCATAATAACCTTAACAACTTGAAATTTATTCTTAATTAGATTAAAATTTGATTTCAGAAGAAATAAATGATTTAACTTCATTATCAAAGAATAATCATACTTAAAATAAATCTCGAAAATTAAACAATGTAAAAATTCAGAATCAGTAAAATGACTTAAAACAATCAGATTATTTTAATTTGTAGAATAGTTTAGATCAATTAAAGTTCAATGAAGAATTTCTAAATCTATTTAAAAAACAAAAATAATTGAGTTAATTTGGATAGTTGGGTAAATATTGAAAGTTTAATAATAGGTATAAATAAAATCAAAGAATAAGAAATGTTAATATAGAAAATAATTGAGAGTAGACCAAGTAAACCAAATCCAGATTTTAAAATATTTCTTTCTCTAAATAAAAAACCATAAATCGAAATTCCACAACAAGCTAAAATATAATAATAAAATTAATAGCCTGTATTTCTAATTCTTGTAATTTTTTTCATTACCTTGATTAGTATGTATATAATAGTTTGATTTATATAATTAAAAATTTATAATGCAAAAACGATTCTTTATTGCATTTTTAACTCTAATGCTAGTTTAGACAAAATCAGTAATGAAGGGTGTTATTGAATTTACAGCACCAAGTTGTTGCGATCCTATTATGAAAAAGGTCACTTTTCCAGATAAATTTATTGATATTCCTTAAATTTTAGTAACAATTAGAGCCATAGAATATGATGCAGGTCCTGTTGGATTTTTCTGTTAAATTTAAGATGTGACTGAATAAGGTAACTACAAAGAATCTAAGTAGATTTTACATTTTAATTGACAGTTCTCCATGCCACTTTAAAAGTTTTAGCTTATGAATATACAGCAATTAATTAAGATGAAGTTGAATTTGGATATTTTAATGTTGATGCACTTTCTATTTTGAAAAAAGCAGAAGCTGGAGATAGAGTTATACCATCTTTATTAACATTTAAAAGAACATTTACTGAAGACCCAATTGTTTAAGTATTTTTAGTTGGAGTAGAATCATAATCAAAGCTCATTTAATTTGAAGTCTCTCCATTAACAGTTTCATTACATGGAGTTTAATTAAATTTTAAGAAGTTTGGAGACACAAGTGTTTAAAAAGTTTAATTGGCATATGTTGCTACTTAGTCTAGCAAAGAATTAGCATAATAAGTTACACATACTGGTTAAAAGCAAGCACATATTGAACCTGCAGATCATCAAGAGGAATCTAAATCATCAGAAAAAGCAGAAGAAAATAAAGAATTCTTATAATTAAGAAGCAAACCAAAACTTATTTAAATAAATGGAATTAATGGTCTAAGATTTACATCATTACCAGTTGCTTTTATGTGGTAAGGAGATTAAATTGATCCAACTGCTTTGAATGTTAATCTTAGAATAACTTTAGATAAAGGAAATTAAGCAGTTTTAGGATTGTATTATTTTGAAGAGAAAGAATATAAAAAATGTCCTATTGTTTATTCAATGTGTAATTATTAAGGATCAAAAGTATACTTATGTAAAGATGTATCTGATTTTAATTCAATTATGAGATTAGCCAAAAGTATTTATATTCCAGAGAAAGCATCAGTTGTTGTATATTAAGATCCATCTTATAGTGGTGCAAAGAGTAAGATAACTAAAAGTATACCATGTATATCTGATTGGTTTACTGATGTTGCAGAAACAGAAATGTCAGATATTAAATAATTTCTATAAATCAATCAAATGAAAAGACATAAAGATCAATAATATAAAGAAATTCATTTAGAAAATTAAAAATAATTGAACAAATTTAACATGGTTTAATTACCTCATTGGAATGAAGCAGGAGATAAAATTGAGGTAGTTTAAGCAATCTTAGATTCTAATAGTCCTCCTGCAAATTCATATAAACAAGAACTAAGTATTATTATTCTTATATAATTTTAGTATAAAAATTAAATGAAGAAGAAGAAACATTTCTCAAAAATAGACAAATCTATTGACTGAATTAAAATTTTAATAATAATCAATAAAATAATATAAAACTAATATTTTATAAAATGCTATTCTCATTTTTATTCATTTATTAAATAATTATTCTTTGAATAATTTTATGAACTAACTTCTATTAGATAAAATAATTAATATAATTAAGAATTTATAGTTGTTTTTTTGAATAATCAATATAATATTAAATAGATTATTATTTATTAATTGATAAATATCTTGCAAATCAATAATTTGAAGAAGAAATCATAAAATTATTCTTAATTATTTGATCAGATATTCATTTAAAAATTTTAGTCACTATTTAATACAATAATAAATCAGTGAATTTAAATAAAATACTTATAGAATATTTAATAATTGATATTTTCTCATTTTTTAATTTATTTATGTGTTTATAGTTATTATCTTAATTCTCTCCAAGATTGTTAAAATTCTTTAGAATTTTAAACATCACTTTAACTATATAATTAAGAAAGTTATTCATCATTAAAATCTAAAATTTTAAATACCTTAACAATCTTATCCGTAGTTTGCTGACTTTTAAATTGACCAATAAAATTACATATGATTTTAGCAAAAAGAAATTTTTAATTTTTATCTAAATCTTGTTTTTTTTATATTAATTAGTCAAAAAAATGTAAAAAATAAAAGAAAGCCCCTTCATCAGTTTCATTTTATGCAGTTTAACATATTTTAATAATTTATTCTATATTCTAAGATAGCTCTTCATTGCTTTGTGCTTTTATTGCCCTAAATAAATTTCTCCATGATTATTGACGAAAAATCTAATCTTTGTTTTAAGCTTAAATTGAACATATGTTTAATATTAATGTCATATTATCTCTGACAATAGAATCAATTTTAGGAATCTTAAATTTATTTTCGAGTAAATCAACTGAAGTTTCTTTTACAGGAGCTTATAAATCTTAATTTAAAAAGATTAGCAATTTGATATGAGAGAGTTTATTACATTCAAAATTCTTAATAACTTATTTTGCTAACTAAGTTCCTAATTTGATTATTTCAAAATTATTATGTAATAAAGAATATCTTAAAACTTCAATGAAATCATTTTAATCAGTATCTTCTACTTGAAGCAATAAATTAAAAGCAGATAATTATGTTTACTTTTAATTAACTAAACAGCATTTCAATAACAAATCAATGTAATTATTATTATTAGTTTTAGTTTTAAGTTCTTTTAATATTTATAATAATGGACTTAATTGAATCTTTGAAAAATATTTCTCTTAAACATCTACTTTAGAAGTATGCAACCCAATGAAATTATGATTATTTTAATCTATTTTATATAGAATTTATATTACTTAAGTAATTAATTATAACTTGAAAATAATCTTAAAACTTTTCAGACAATTATAATGATGAATTCATACTTTAAATAAGCTTTTCTTAAATTACTAAATATTCTGGTATTTAAAATATATCATTCTAATTCAATAATGATAATAATTTTGATATATTTTCTTAAAAAATCTCCTCTGATTCTTCCAAATATTATGTTAAATTAAGTTTTATAATTTAACTTAATTTTTAAATATCTAAGAATTTATATTATGATTCAAAATAACACTATAAAATATAAACAGGATTATTACTATTAAAATCCAAATTCCAGCATTATTATCTTACCATCTAGAACTTTATAAAAGAATCGTAATTAATATTTACATACTATTTTGCTATATCATTTTTACCTCTCGAAAGCTTCTTTAACAATGATCTAATTAGCATATTTTGATGATTCAACCTATGCATCTAATAAATTTTTCAGTTTCTTAGTTGCCTGAATTCCTTTCTAAAAATCCTCCTCTCCAGCTGCAATAGCATATTAATAAAAATTTTTAAAGTTTTAAGTAAATTTAGTATTATAATTTTCTACATCTCTTCGAAACATTCTGTATTTCTGATTTAGTTCTTCAATTTTTAATTCCATTTAAAAATTAATATTATTTTGATAAAAATATATATGTATATTTATTATTATTTATTTTATAATAAAAATCTTATAAACTACTTCTATTTAACTATTTCTGTTTATATTTATATAGATTATATTCTTATAGACAAGATATGATTACAAAAAGTATAAGTAAAAGAAACTTTAAATTTTATGATATATGTCAAAATTTAAATTGATTGGGAACATTTAATTTATAGAAAAAGAAGATTTAGATTATTAAATGATAAATGATTTACATATTAATAGAATTAATTTAAGTTTTTAATGTATTTAAAATAAAATTATTATATTTTTTCATATCAGATTAATTTATTATTTATTCTTTTCATAATTTACTATTTAAAAATGTATAAAATAGAAGTTTCTGAATCAATAAGTAAATTAAAAATAGAGATTGATCATATAATTAAAAATTAGTTTAGATTTATATATGTTTTGTTAAATTGAATTTCTAATTAATAGATTTTAGTGTATAAAATAATTTATAAATAGATTTAATTTTAATAATTAAGATAATTAAAATATAACAATAAAAAATTTATTAAAGTATATGATATCAATCATTTTCTAATGAATTAAAGACCAGCTGGATTATGTGTTTAAATTGATAAGAAATACTCATAAACTTCCATTAATTCTTTTTCTGCTACAACTTTAGTTGTACCAGGTTAATCAATGACAATATCTAACATTAAAAATTTGGTCAGATATCTAATACATCTGCTTAATTAAGTAAATTGAAAGCCAAATACAATTTCTATGAATGGCTTATAAATGCGCTAGAAATCAAGTATATCTTTTTCTTAAACTTTATTTTCCACTATTCTTTAATAGGTGCATCCACAATATTGTTTTAGTAAAACCAAATAAAGTAAGGATGAAACTATTTCTCTATTAGTAAATTAATATAATTTGATATCTAAAATAGCACAATCTAAAAAGGTCATGAAATGTCTAAATAATGCATATGATGATTGAGTTGGTTATTTAATTTATAAGTTGGCTTAAGGATAATATATATCCCATTAGGATAGATACCATGAACTCCATAGATAAAGAGTGGGAGGATTGATCATCCATTTTAATTCAGTTAAAATATCTTATTCTTTATCTAAGATTTATTATTCTGTGAATCCATAATTGCTAGCTGATGAAAAATCATTAACTTTTGGTGGATAGATTTCCTAGAATAAGTAATTATAATTACTTCAATTTTACATGCAATTAATAAACTTGCTAAGCCACATAATTAGAGTTCTGATTTACTAATAGATGCTTTAGACATATATCTATCTAGATTATGAATACACAAATGAAAAGTTTCTCTCTTTAATGTAAATTCTTTACAAACTTCACTAATCCAGTCATATAAAATAGATCTCATTTATGGAGATATATGACATTAATGATCAAAGAATTATGGATGAATTTTATATTCCAACTCTTTTTAATACAATAATCTTAATGTATTTTCATCAAATATTCCTTCTTTTTGATCATTAATTTCTATCTATTCTTGACATCCAATATCTATCTTCTTCAATTTGGTTCTTTAAGATTAAGATGTTTTTTTTATTAATTGGCTAATTTATTTTCTTATATCTTCTGTATTAGTATTTTAAGAAGTTTTTTGTTTCCTCTAAGTATCGTTGCTATTCATATTTTCCTTATTCTTTAATCCACCAATTGAAGCCTTCCTTATAGTGATTTACTTAGGTGAAGGATCAAAAAGAGCAACAGCACTTAAATTCTTGCGTCTTGCATCCTGAATTATTAGTCGACTCTGTAGAGGCTGCTTCATTCAAATTTAAATAACGAAAATAAACATAATTAACTTTATCTATAATATTATCATTTCTATTCACATCCTCTATAAATCAATCTTATACTCATCTTTCCTTCTAGTTTATGAATAGATGAAGTACATAAACCTGTATAAATTAAAGACTTTCTCAATCTAGATGATTTAGAATATTCAATAAATAACTTAGTCAATATAGTTTTAATTGAAAAGCTATAAGATGATTAGATGTAAATCATATACAATCAGAATAGTTAAAATATATTCAATAATTGTTCATCCAAATATAATCTAACATAGATGATTGAAGAAATTAAGTGATCAAAATTTTTTTTGAATATATACTTTTGTATTATAATGAACTAATGGTCTATATTCAATTAAACTTAATGAACACTTTATTTACAAATAAAATTGGTCATTATTATTATCATTAATTAAAATGTAATTGTTTACAATTTATGAACAAGTCTTAAAGAATTTCTACAATCCTTAAATTATAATATTTTAGGATGTGTATCGTTAATTTTTATACATCTTCATAAGACTACTTCTATATTATGAATTCTAATTAATTTCTATTCAAATTAAAGAAGATTATTTATTTAGTAAAACTTTTAGTAATAAATAATATTGAAGTTAAATCCTTGCTGATGTATGCATTTATGAACTAATATTAAATAATATTGATATTATCATCATTATTTTTATTATTTATCCAAGCTCTCAAATATTCTAGATGAATGTTCTGGATTCATTATGAGCATTTTATTGTAGGAACTTGCACATAATCCACTATATTAATTTGATCTACCAAATCTACAAGCCTTTGCTATTGATTTTTCATTAGCAACTATATAAGCAGCCTTACCATCAACAGGAGCCTTTATAATGAATATGATTAAAAACCTAATCAAAAAAACAAACAACATATTCTATATATTTGTCTACTGATTTTTTAATAGCTCTTCCACATCCAAATTGTGAAATTGTTGCAATAACTAATTATTCAGCATTTTGTTAATTTTACTTCCATTTTTTCACAATATCTTAAGGGTTCCATTCAACTCCTGATGATTCTACTATTCTTTAATGAAAGAGTAATCCAAAATCACCTTTTAACTTAGTATGATTTATAAAATACGTTTTTACAAGTATTGATAGAATCAGGACATCTTTCAGCACAATTTTATGCTCCTCTTGACAATCCAATTGACCATGTAGTTATTTACATATTAGCAGCATATTCAAATAATCCCAAATGATTTGGTTATCTTGCCTATGCAACTTCATTTCTCAATTAATTTATGGATCTTTCAAATTCATAAATCTATTTAGAAAATATTCCTTTAATAGTAGTTGTGCATTCTTAACTATAAGAAACTACAAAGATTCCGTAAAACAGAAATAAAATCATTTTAATATATATTTATTAATAATACTTTGAATTAAATATCTATACTCATATAATACTTCAATTAAAAAAAATTATTTTTTTTAGACAAATTTATGTTCAAGTTACATACAAGATTATTAAAAATAATACAGATATTTAATGAATATTTAATATATTTAGTATATCAATATAACCTCAAAAATATGATTTACTAAATTATTAACTTCAACTATTTCCTTTTGTTTTTTTAAGAATATTTAACTCTAATCTTCTATTCAAGCAAACATTTAACTTATTATAATAATAAGTCAATCAATCAGTTATAGATCTTTTGTATTTATATATTATTAATTACAGACTGAATAATATGAATGCATATAATAATAAAAAGTATAAAGATATCGATCTATATAATAATTCTTAAACAAACAATGTATAATTTTATTAACATCCTTAAAGACAAATGCTTTGGTCTTTTTTAAATTTCATTTAAAATAAATGGTTCTGGTTAGATAATTCAAGATTTATATTCCTCTTGATTTTAAATATAATGATGATCAGTATTATATTGAATATTAGTTAAACTTTAAATTTTCAATAATTTGTTTATTTACTTATATAGGTTTCTCTTATATTATGGATAATGATAATGATTTAAAAATGAATATGTTATAATATATGAATGATTATTAGTATATTTTGTAATGAAGTATTGTTAACAAACATAATAAAAAGTTCTTCAGGTAAACTTTTCCAGTAATTTCTAATTTCTAATTAATCAAAATGTTAATGATTTAAGTTGTTCTGTAATTGAAGGGAGAATGGATTGTAAATAACATTTGCATCATCTTATTATAAATGATACTTAATTTTATTGAAGAATTGATAAGTAGTTTTAATATGCTTATAGCGATAATATATTTTATAAAAAATGAAAGTTGTGATTTTCTTTGAAGTTATCATATCGTTTGAAATCATTTGGAATTTGATTTTTAGAATAGAAAATGATAAACTTGGATTTATAGTGAGTGCTGTAGTTCTACATTATATTAATTTTTTGATCAAATGCATCTTAATCAATCTAGAATCCCAGAAGTGGTAATTTTGGGGTGCCTTAATTGTAAGTGAGTCAATTAGCATGGGATTATTAAGTATGGAGTGGTAGAACAAAATAGATCTGATACAAGTAAATATTGATGTATAGAAGGTTTTAATAGTTATATAATGTGGATGGGGATTGAATATACAATAATACTTTATACCAGGAATGTTCTTAGGGTTGTACTCTTTGATACTTGAATTTTTTAAATAAGGATCATCTATATATGATCTCATCAAAACTATCATTATTATGATACTTTGCGTGCTCTTTGCATATAAGATGAGACCAGAATAACATAAAGATAGGGAAGCTTCACCTATTCCAAAGGTGGAACTTTAAATGTCAATAAAGTTTGATATAAAGAATCACATTCTTGAATTAGTGTAATAAATAAAGATATTATATAACTAGTCCGTGGTTAACCGAATAAAAATTTATTGTTTTTAATGAAAAAATGCTTGTTCTTTATGAGTAGGCCCAATTATTATAATTTTTTGACAGTTCTGTTGATGAGGAGGAAGAAATGAGTGATTCATAATTAGTGAAACATTTATTAGATTGTAAATGTGATTCATTATCTTCTGGGTTACTCAAACTTTTATAGGGGTATACTTATTGCTATAATAGAGTCCATAACCAAAAAAAAGAGCATTTTTGAAGCCTGATTTGAAATC